AGTCCCAGGCCTGGTGGCTTGCTTTCTCACTTTCTCTCTCTCTCTGGTCAAATTAAAATAAATAAATGTTAAATAAAATAGTTCTTAAAAAAAAAATACAAGTAGCAGGCCACCAGTGGTGTAGTGAACAGGTGGCTGAATCCCATGTGGCTGACTGCACAACTGAAGTCCTAGACCTGGCATCTCAAAAAACACACCAAACATATGTTATGTCCATGCACCCCCAAAATCCTGAGAGGAGGATGGAGAAGGGACTGAAGCATGTTTATTCCCAGGGGGTGATTTCTCACTTTCTGTCTCTGTCTCTCTCCAGCAAGCACATGTGTCTTATAACAAAAAAAACTAAAACTAAAAAAGGAAAAAAAAATATCATCCAAGAAAATTCTAATAGTCACAGTGTGACAAAATATTCTGAAGATTAGACTAATGTTAACTTCACTTTTACACAATACCACTTAGAGAAACATACCTGATATTTTCCCAAGAAAATGAATGCTGGTATAGAAGGATCTTTTTAATTATCGGGACCAGCAGTTGGTGTAATGGCTATGTCACTGGACTCCCATGTAGTCGACCATGGTTCAAATCCCAGACTCAGTGGCTTAGCATGTGCACAAACCTGTCTAAAATCCCAAGATTTCAAGAGGAGAATGGATTGCAGCGTGGCCATCCCACCACAGAGTGATTTCTTGCTTTCTGTCTCTGTCTTTCTGGCAAGTGCACGCGCTCTATAGTAAAAACCTCGCCAAAAAAATAAAATAAAATAAAAAGGTACTAGACTCCCACAAGGCCGACCACAGCACAAGCCTTGGACACAGTAGCTTAAAAAAATAATCCACCAGATTAGCAGAGGTATCAATGGTTATGTCGCTAGACTTCCACATGAACAACTGCAGTTGAAGTCCCAGACCAGGAGGCTTGAAACTCATGCTGGCACATGTGCATGCATATCCAAAATTACAGAAGGAGAATGGAGAATGAAGTACAGTGCAGCCATCCACCCTGAGGATGATTTCTCACTTTCTGTCTCTCTAGTGAATGCACACATCCTATAGCAAAAATCTCTTAAAAAAAAAAATAAAAAAATACATGGGACCAGCAGTTGGCGTAATGGCTATGTCGCTGAACTCATGTTCTCTCTTTCTGGCGCGCGCACGCGCCCTATAGCAAAAACCTCTAAAAAAAAAAAGAAAAACACAGGGGGCAAATGTGATAAATATTTCATAAATATATATTTATATATATAATTACAGAAATTATATAAGATATATATATATACACAAAATATAACTTTGTATATATATAATGTATACAATATATACATACTGGGCCAACAGGTGGTTAACATGCTAAATTCCACATTGCTGACTATGTGGTTCAAGTATCCACCCAGCACCTTGAAAAACACACTAGGCAACTGTGCCTATCAGCCTGAGAGTACATTCCCAAAATCCTAAGAGGAGAAGGGATTATGGCATGGACAATCCTCCCCCCCAACCCTAGGTGATTTCTCACTTTGTCTCTCCCCAGCAAGTGCATGTGCCCTATGACAAAATCTTTTAAAAAATAAAGATATTTTCTTTACTATTTGGGTTCTTTTTTTTTTTTTTTTTTTAAATAAGTTTTTGCCTTTGGTGCATGCACTGGCCAGGGAGAGAGAGACAGAGACAGTGAGCAGTAAGATACCAACCCCCAAGGAGGATGGCCACTCCTTAATCCCTTCTCCTCCATTCTCCTCTCAGGATTTTGAGCACACACACACACACACACACACACACACACAAACATGCACACACCTGGTATGAGTGTTATTTTATTTTTGAGATTTTGAGTGCATGTGCTCACCAGAGAGAGAGAGAGAAACAGAAAATGAGAAATTACCTCCTGGTCGGGGGCGGGGGGTGGCTGGCCACGCCGCAATCCTTTTTCCTCCTCTCTCGGGATTTTCAGCAGCGCACACATGTCCCTGGCATGAGTTAGAAGTCACCAGGTCCAGGACTCGAACAGCAGTCAGCTATGTGGGAGTCCAGTGACTTAACCATTATACTACCTGCTGGTCTCCACCTTGTGTGAGTTTTAAACCATCAGGTCCAGGCCTTGAACCACAAGCCAACTATGTGGGAGACCAGTAACATAACCTTTACGCCATCTGCTGGCTCCCTAGTCGTTAAATTCTTGTCAAATTTAGTCTTCCAACACTCACTGAACACTGATCTGTGCTAAATTAGCTTTGAAGCTGACAGTTTGTGCTGCTTTGCAAAGTAGACTTCACGTTATTTCCAGGGCCAAGCAAGCCAAAACGGAATGCAATCTAGAACCCAAGACCATCTAGGAGGAGAAACCCAATTTCCAAAAATGTCCCAGGATTCACAAAACTGAACTACACAGCAACTAGGATTTTAAGGCTGCCTTCATGAGAAACAGAGCTCTATCATTTCTAACTACAGGTTAGTTCCCCATGAAAACCATAAGCTAATAGTAAAATAGTTAAGTATATTTTAATGTTAACGCGGTTGTTTTAGAATCTTAAGTGAATTGGGGGCCAACAGGTGGCATGGTGGTTAAGGCGCTGGACACTCCCACAAGGCCAACCATGGCTGGGAGTCCCAGATCTGGTGGCTTATCTCTCTCTCTCTCGTCAAATTCAAATAAATGAATGAATAAATAAAATTAAATTAAAAATTCTTTTTAAAAAATCTTGGGACCAGCAGATGGCGTAATGGCTACAACGCTGGACTCCCAGGTAGTACGTGGTTCCAGTCCAGGACCTGGTGGTTTAAACTTGCCAGGCATATGTGCATGCATGCTCAAGATCCTGAGAGGAGAATGGAGGAGAAGGGATTGTAGTGTGGCCATCCCCCTGGGGGGTGATTTCTTGCTTTCTGTTTCTCTCTGTCTTTCTGGACGAGCATAAGAGCCCTATAGCAAAAACTTCTCAAAACAAAACAAAACAAAAAAAACCTTAAGAGAATTGTGCATTACTCCAAAAGGCATTTTCAATATACCTAATAATATCTGATATATATTGCTCTGTGTGTGTGTGTGTGCATTTTTTTGTTTAGAGAGAGCTTTTTGCTATGGGGTCATGCACTCACCAGAGAGACAGAGAAAGAGAGACAGAAAGTGAGAAATCACCCCTCTAGGAGGACAGCCACACTGCAATCCCCTCTCCTCCATTTACCCTTTGGGATTTTGGGCACCCACTCACGTCTACCTGGCCTGAGTTTCAAACCACCAGGTCCAGGACTGGAACCAAAGTTGATCATGTGCAAGTCCAGCAATGTAACCATTATGTCATGTGACAGTCCTTGCCATTTATAAAGATAAGCAATTTACTTATTAATCTCTGAGCCTCAGCCTTTTCATCTGTAAAATGTCCATAACAGAATTTTTTTCACGAGATTTTACTAGTAAAACAAAGTACTTCACACAAGGCCTAGCAAAGAAATGGGAGATAACAAAGTAGCTATTAAGTACAGAAAGTAAAGCTTAAGGTTTCTTAAATGGTAGGAATATACAGAAAAGTGACAGAACCTGATGGGGCACTGGTTCTGAAAGGCTAAAAACGTGACTTTATAGTAAGGTGACTATGTAAAACTGGATCAAGAAAGAGGGAAGAGGGAACAGCATTTGCGTAATGGCTATGTCGCTGAACTCCCAAGTAGCCAACCGCAGTTTGAGTCCCGAACCCGGTGGCTTAAAACTCATGCCCGGCGCATGTGCATGCGTGCCCCAAGATCCCAAGAAGAGAATGGAGGACAAGGGATTGCGGCGTGGCCATCCCCCCGAGGGGTGATTTCTCTTTCTGTCTCTGTCTGGTGAACGCACGTGCCCTATAGCAAAAACCTCTCCCAAATAAAAAGAAAGAGGGAAGAGATGAAAATTATGGACTACTGAAATCTGTGGTGGCCATTTTAAAAACCATCAATATTTCCAACCCTTTCACTAGTTTTACAATTAGGATCCTGATCCCATGCCCCTATTGCCTGTCCCCACATGTATTCCTTAGTTTATAATTATGTTTCATTCTCAATCAGTAACCTTTAAAACAGGTTTAACAAATGTGTCATTCTACTAATTTGTAAAACAAAACCCTAAAAATCAGTAATCTCCAGGCATGCCTCAAGAACAGCTAGCACCCAAATCACCTTGCTTAAAATGTAAACTAGTCGAAGGGCCAGCAGGCGTGGTGGTTAAGGCACTGGACTCTCACATAGCTAAGTGTAGTCCAGACCTAGCAACGCTTTCACACTTTCTCTTCCTCTCTCTCTCTCTGCCTCTCTCCAAATTAAAAAATAATTAATAACAATTAAATTAAAAAAATAAATAAAACATTTTAAATGTAAGCTGGTGGACTGGGGCTCAGAAATTTATGTATAATTTTGAGGACCACTGCCCAAAAGTGTCTAGCAAAAACAGTCTAGATTGTAGTCCCCTAAAATGTTACTTAACCGCTTCTTAATTTCTTGCATAATTTGCCACTATAGCAAGCTTCTAATTTACCGCAATATGTACCCAAATCAGGCACATTATTTTAGGAAGAGCAGGGCCAATAAATAATATCAAGAAATAATGATATCCTAAATAGGCACGAATCATACTATAAATTACTAAAAATGTCATTGTTTTATTAACTCAAGCATAATATTAAAAATGAGCAGCTAATACACATTCTTTGACAGCCCCCACAAAAGCAGACATCTTAGTAAGATCTGACCTAGTTTTGTCAAGAGCCTCACTTTAAAACAGTATACGGTGAAGTTCAGTCTGATTTACGCATAAAAGGTTGAAAATTAACCTTATTAGAAACCCCACACCCAATAAAACATGCCTGGCAGTTTGTGTATCTCTTAGTTATATTGAATATAAAACTTACTTGTAAAATTTATAATGCCACAACGTTACAGAATTCTTTATATCAATCCAAACTAAGTTTTTAAATGTCTAACAACTAATCATTCCCAAAAAAAATTTTTTAAACCAGCAATGGAAGCACTCACCCTCAATAAAGCATTGTAACAAGCTTCCTAAAACTGTCCAGATCAGGAAATGATTGGCCGTTGAGTCTTTGCATTTTACTGTGGAAACCCTTTATGTTACATCTTGGGATATAAGCAAAATAATCACCAAAAAATATTTAAGTGTTTTAAATATGCAAAAGTCAGCAATCATTCTAGCACACTACTTGATGACCTCAATTCTCAACCTGGATGCTTTAGTATAAACTACTGATACCACTACTCACTGCTTCACCAGAATGGCTGTATATTTTTCCCACCAAAAGTAGAGCTATTGCACCATACGTTTCATGGTCTCTGTAAAGAAAAGAAATCATGGTCTTGGTTTATATTTCCTTAAAATACAAATACATTTTCTATAAATTGTTTTAAGAACTTAGTGAAATCTGAAGTTTTCTAAAGAAATCATCTCTAGTCTTTTTAAACCAACATACACACATAAAGTCAATATCTATAAAAAGATCAATCCTGAAACAAAACTAGTTATAACTTTTATTACTCATGTAGCGCAAAAATTAAAATGCACAGGCATTTTTAAGCACAGGTCAGGTCTAAAAAAAGTTGATTCAGGAAATACTAGTCAAGATTTCAAAGTGGATTAATAGTAAGTTTTAGGATCCAGAGATAAAGTTTAAATAATCCCTCTGTATCAGGAGAAACCATTGGTCCCAATACATAATGTCCCTTTATATATGGACTGAAAAGGCTGAGAAACTGCCTTTTCAGAAGCCTAGACTTTTGCTCTCTGCAGATAACATTGACTGGTTAAATCTGCTATGGTTTAAATTACTAAAAACAGAGGTATGTTTAAAGAATAGAGCTAAAAGTCTGCAGGCAGGATAAAAAATATCCATAATAATTTCTACTGACCCCAATCAAGAGAACAGAGGCTTTCAAAGAGTTCTTGAGGGGGTTAGCCAGTGACATGGTGGTTAAAACAGCTAGATCTCACATGGCTGGCTGCATAGTTTTGAGTCTCGGACCCAGACAGCTTGAAAACACATCAGGAGTATGTGTGTGCATGCCCAAAATCCCAAGAGGAGAATGGAGAAGGGAATGCAGTATGGCCATCCCCACTAGGGAATACTTTCTCACTTTCCCTCTCTCTCTGCATCTGTTTCTCCAATGAAGCACATGTACTCTGTAGCGAATTTAAAAGTAAAAAATAAATTAATAAAATTTTAAAGAAGAATTTAATTTCATTGTTGTTACTATTTTTAAAATTTGACCAGAGAGAGAGAGAGAGAGCGAGAGAAAGGGAAAGTTAAAAAAGCAAGCCACCAGGTCCATTCTCGAACTGTGGTCAGCCATGTGGGTATCCAGTGCCCTAACTACCATGCAACCTGCCAGCCCCAATTACTTTTGTTTTCTGAAGAGTCCCTAGAGGCCAGCAGGTGGCGTGGTGGTTAAGGTGTTGGACACTCCCACATGGCCAATGATGGTTTGAGTCATGGACGTGGGGTGGCTTGTTTTCTCACTTCTCGCTCCACGTGTCTCTCTCTGGTCAAATTAAAATAAATGAATAAATAAAATTTGGGAAAAAAAAAAAAAGAGTCCCTAAAAGGATTGTGGCTCTTATGTACTCCACCTGCAAAAAGTAAGAAAGCAGCCTCGGCCACTGTGGGGAACAACCATGCTACAACAATCCCTTTCAGAATTTTGGACACGCACACACATGCACCTGGCATGCTTTTCATGTACCAGGTCCAAGACTGGATCTCTCTTTCTCTCTCTGTCCCTCTCTGGTCAAATTAAAATAAAATAAATAGGAATCAGCAGTTAGCATAATGGCTAAGAATTATTTATTTTATTTTATTTATTTATTCATTGTTGTTACTATTTTTAAAATATGACCAGAGAGAGAGAGAGAGAGCGAGAGAAAGGGAAAGTTAAAAAAGCAAGCCACCAGGTCCATTCTCGAACTGTGGTCAGCCATGTGGGTATCCAGTGCCCTAACTACCATGCAACCTGCCAGCCCCAATTACTTTTGTTTTCTGAAGAGTCCCTAGAGGCCAGCAGGTGGCGTGGTGGTTAAGGTGTTGGACACTCCCACATGGCCAATGATGGTTTGAGTCATGGACGTGGAGTGGCTTGTTTTCTCACTTCTCGCTCCACGTGTCTCTCTCTGGTCAAATTAAAATAAATGAATAAATAAAATTTGGGAAAAAAAAAAAAAGAGTCCCTAAAAGGATTGTGGCTCTTATGTACTCCACCTGCAAAAAGTAAGAAAGCAGCCTCGGCCACTGTGGGGAACAACCATGCTACAACAATCCCTTTCAGAATTTTGGACACGCACACACATGCACCTGGCATGCTTTTCATGTACCAGGTCCAAGACTGGATCACTTTTGTCAGATATGTGGGATCCAGCTGCCTTAACCACCATTCCACCAGCTGGCCTGAAAAGAACAACTTTAAAAAATCAAAATGCATACAAGGGGATGCAATTAAGAAACAAACACACACACACACACATTCAGAAAGCAGAAAATGCCACAAAACAATGTCCATGGTTTAACAAATTTCAAGTATGACCCAGAAACAGTAATAAAGGTGATACAACACCACAGCATAACACTGGAGCCAGACAGAAGGCCTGAGTTTAGACACAGGGTGAACTTGAACACACAAGGCACATTCATGATCCTAGCTGACTTGGAGGCTGAAGGGACATTGTCATTATGTGGTAAGCTGGTAACAGAGGGTACCTATCTGTGTCATTAAACAAAAAATATAAACAAAAAAAAAATTGCAAGAGAACTGCAGATAAAAATAAACTTAAGAAATTAATGATACTGAATAAACGATTTGGATAGTAGTTTTAACAAGACAGTCTTAAAATTTTAATTTTGAGAGAATATGATGCTCAACCCTGAGGATGTCTCACAGTTTAAAGAAATCGATACTTCTATTTTAGGTATTCTATTTTACAGATAGTATGGTTATGGTTTAAGTCCTTATCCCTTACTACACTGAAATAGTAATGGATGGACCAGCAGTTAGTGTAATGGCTATGAGATGTCACTAAACTCCCATGTAGTTGACCACGGTTTGCATCCCGGACCTGGTGGCTTATAACTCACGCCAGGCACGTGTGCATGCGCGCCAAAGATCCCGAGAGGAGAACGGAGGAGAAGGGATTGCAGCGTGGCCATGCCCCCCTGGGGGGTGATTTCTCGCTTTCTGTCTCTCTGTCTCTCTCTGTCTGGCGAGTGCACGCACCCTATAGCAAAAAAAAAAAAAAAAAAAGTTATGGATAAAGTGATAGTCTTAGAGTATCTGTTTTAAAATAATCTAGTGGAGGGGATCAGCAGTTAGCGTAATGGCTATGTCGCTGGACTCCCACGTAGTCGACCACGGTTCAAGTCCCGGACCCAGTGGCTTAAACTCACACCAGGCACATGTGCGTGCGTGCCCAAGATCCCGAGAGGAGAATGGAGGAGAAGGGATTGCAGCGTGGCCATCCCCCCTGGGGGGTGATTTCCTGCTTTCTGTCTCTCTGTCTCTCTCTGTCTGGCGAGCACACGTGCCCTATAGCAAAAACCTCTCCAAAAAAAAATAATAATAATCTAGTGGAGGCAGCTATATGATGCCTCGAATTTGCCTAGATGCTGATAAATTTAGAAACCAGGCTATATATAATGACGGTTCATTTCCCCTAATAAAAAGTTCAACAGAAAATATGATATAACCATTGATTCATTATTCTATCTAAAATAACCATTGTAAGACAGTTCAGCAACCTGAAAGAGTGCTTATATCAAAACTACAAAAGCATAAGATTAAGGGGACCAGCAGTTGGCATAATTGCTATATCGCTAGACTCCCATGTCGTTGACCACAGTTGGAGTCCCGGACCCGGTGGCTTAAACTCATGCCGCATGCGTGCCCAAGATCCCAGGAAGAGAATGGAGGAGGAGGGATTGCGGCATGACCATCCCCTCTAGGGAGTGATCTCTCGCACTCTCTCTCTCTCTGTCTTTCTGGCAAGCACACGTGCCCTATAGCAAAACTCAAAAAAAAAAAAAAAAAATATATATATATATACACATATATATATATATAGGAAATTTTCAAACTGAATTTGTAGAGCTGACTACTCTCACCTGTTCATATTAAATTATGCCATCAGACACTGCTAATAAGCCCAAGAGTGGGTAGGTAACTTAAACTAGCTATGAGGGCTAGGTATATTGGAACAATACAAAAGCCTCCAGTAAACTAGAAAATGCATGCTTCACTGAAAAGGCATTCATTTTCAAGTAAATACTACTTGAAATCTGTTTTCGATCAGACACTCAAAAATATCCTTTTAGGAGAACCATGTTAAAGCAAGCTACCTAGAAAAAAGGAGTATATAAGAATCAAATAAAGATACATAAAAATAGGCTACTTGGACACTTTACATATATATAAACTGAGGCATAAAATTTGTGTTTAAGTGACCTACCCAAAGCCAAACTAACTAGCTTCATTAATAACCAAAAAGACTGTGATCTAGAGAGACACAAACAGTGTTAATGGGAACCAATACTAGAACTCAGCTGTCTAGTACTACAGCCAAGTAACCTGAGGAGCTGTCCAGTACAAGAATCTACTATTTACTACCGCCTTTCTTTTCATCCTTGAGTTGTATGTGTCCTGCTCCTTTTCTTAACAAAAAGATTTTCCTCAAAAATGTGCTCTTCAACTATGAATACCCAGCAAAACATACAATGACAGGGAGACTTTTTCCATATGGTAGGAAACTCTTACAACTTTAAAACACATCTCTGTACTATGTATATTATCAGAGTAGAGTACAGAATAAAAACAGTAACTAGACCTTTTGAAGACTGAAGAAAGAGCACATGTACATTGACAGAATAGTCTCCCAAATGTTAATTCCTTCCTATCTTACTAGACAGGCAAGATACAAAATTTCAGATTGTTTACTGGTTATTAAAACTTCATGGCTGGAAGGGACCAGCAGGTGCCATAATGGTTAAGGTGTTGGACACTCCCACATGTCTGACCACAGTTCGAGTCCCAGACCTGGTGGCTTGTTTTCTCACTTTCCCTCTATGTCTCTCTCTCAATGGTCAAATTAAAATAAATGAATGAATAAAGAAAATTAAATAAATAATTCTTAAAAAAAAAAAACCTCATGGCTGGGACCAGCAGATGGCATAATGGTTATCTCACTGGACTCCCACGAAGT